TCTCTCTCTCTCTCTCTCTCTCTCTCTCTCTCTCTCTCTCTCTCTCTCTCTCTCTCTCTCTCTCTCTCTCACGCGCGCGCGAGGGCGTGTTGACATGCACAGGCCTCGCACATGGGCTGGGTGGCCATAGGCCCATGATGGTTTTTTTTCTTTTTTTTAACAGGAAAACCAGACCAGCGTCACTAGGGAAGGCGATACGAGCTGCCTCCCCTAGTGCGCGATCTGGTTGCTCCAATCTATTGGTGGGGAGCCACACCTTCTGGAAAACGGGTCCAGCGTCCCATTTGAACAGGTGAATAAACAGCAGAAGGTACGTGAGGATCTGGCTGCCAGCATTGACTGCCCCAGTGAGACTGGGGGGTTAACTGAGCAGCTGCTAACAGTGCTAAGTATGTGTAATGCTCTCATCCCTTTTTTGGATATTGATGATGTTATTGCTGAAATAGGTAATGATGGCGATGCTGGGGAAGCCAATGATTCTAGGCTATGCTCTGTTTCCTTCCTCCTCTCGAGACCCGTTCCCACCGTCGACTGCCCCCGCACCTCTTCACCTTTCCTTGTGGCGCCAGATCTTACCTGCCAAACCAGTGCTGAGATTCCTGTGTCGTGGAAGTGGGCTGGGTGGGTGGGTGAGGGATAGACTCCGCTAGCCTGGGGATAAACCCTAGACCCTAGTCCCCTGCCTAAACCCTCCTTTCTCTCTCTTGAGTTCATCCATCCTTCCTGTACCACTGCATTCCTACTAGACAGTTTTGCAAGGAAAATGAACAGAAGCGAGATGACAATATTCAGATTGCACAATCACATTGAAAGCCAAATCGTAACACAGTCACTGTGTTCAGGAAGCAGCATTGCACCAATATAACACCAATGAAGAATCGTAGCACTGAAAGTCAATGTCAATGAGAGCTTGCTCTCGCCACCACCAACATATGTATCCAGTCTCTATCTCCCTACCTGGCACTCGACGCCCAGCCTACTCCCTACACAGCTACTACTAGCCTACTAATTGACAATGCAACTGTTGACGTCAGCAGCACCCCAAATACTTGAAGATGTCGCCCATGCAGAACCATCGCCAATACCAGGTATGTGCCCTCACATCATCATCATCATCATCCTTCTCTCTCCCCCTTGACTCTCTCCCACGTCTCCCTTTGTTGTACACCCGAAGACCACCGCTGCGCCTCACTGTACATCCAAGCCCTGCCAGCTATGGAGGCTGGGCTATGGCGCTGCCCTCAGCAGCGCCCTGCTCCCTGCACGACCGCACGTGCCTGCACCTTGCCGCTCAGCGCTAGCAGCAGCCCACGAGCTTCAGCTCCAGCAGCGCTGCTGCCAGCATGCGAGTGCCCGAATGTCTGGCCAGGCAGCGAGCTCTTTCCTATATGGAAAGAGCCTGCCTCATTCGGCAGCCTGGCTGGACTGGCCTGGGCCCAGAAGCTTCCGGTAGGCCCCAGGCTGCTGCGCCTCTGGTGCAGCTACTGGGCCTCATTCGGTTGGGCCTCCCAATTGTCTGTGTATGAGGCTGCGAATCTCGCCCAGGGCCTGTGCTTTCGGAAAGGCCTAGAAGGCCTGGGAATTTCCACGCTGCTCGGCCTGTGTTTTCCTTCAACCAACTGGCACGACGAAACTGCCTGGACCCCAAATACAGAATTGACAGCAAGGGCCTCTCGTAATTTGTTTGGCCCGCCTTCACTTAGGGCGGGCACATTTGCTGCAGGGGCCCCTTAGGCCTGCCGGGGACCCAGATCCTTGCAGTTTGATGGGGGGGGGGGAAGAAATCGGGGAATTCTTCAGGGGGTTTCAATGGGATAGCCGTATCAATTGTGGTCCATTCATGGAATATCAGTCGGTAGTCTCTTACAATCTCCATTCTCCCTTGGCCCTCCCCTGATTCCTTTTGTTCCTCTTTCCATTCTACCATCGCTATCCTCCTTCCGATTGTCCCCCCAAGCCAGCTTGAGCTAAATTCCTGATTTTTTTGTTTGCAGGCCTTGCTTTTTTTCCCCTTCTAGACAGCGGGTACTTTTCCATCACTTTTTTTAGCTTTGCTGTGTTTCTCAGATTTTTCTCTGTTCCCAGTCATGTCAGTTGTGGGA